GGCCAGAGGGGGCTCAGGACCACATACGCCTATCTCTGAGAGCTCTGACTCCCCACCTGGAGGCCCCTCCATACTGGGCAACCCCTCCCTCCAATGTCAGGCCCACCTCAAGGACTCTGACTCCATGACTCCACCAGACCCCTGACTCAGCTGCCTCACCCTCCGGAGCCCATCTCGCGCAGCGGGAAGCTGCGCAGTCCCAGAACCAGCACGTCAGCCTCCCCGGGCAGCAGCAGCTCCAGGTCGCCCATGTCGAGGCCCAGGACAGAGAGGGGGAAGGCGGGGTTCGGCTGACCCCGGGCAGCAGCCGGCGCTGCGGTGAGGGTGTTGACACGCTCGGGCACGACCGTCTCCTGCGGGGCCGAAGACTGAGACCCGACGGTTGAGGAGCGGTTGGGGCGCGTGGGTCCTCGCCGCCATGGAAACGGTTAGCTCGGCGGGCGCCTGCGCAGTACGGCCTGGGCCCGCCCCCACCCGCGGCGAGCGCGGGGCTGGGCCAGCCCCAGTCCGCCGCTCCTGCCAGGCTGCGGGTAGCAACCCTTTTTGGACTCCTGGAGTTTTCTCCCTCACAACTCACAACTGTCTGCGGCTCAAAGGTCTTCCCGAGTCCCAGACGCCTGTGGCCTAGTCTCTTTCTTGGGACGCACGTCACATCGTCCCGCAGAGGGATGGGGTCATCCCGCCCCCGACCAGCTCTTCCTGCAGTTGTTCCGGCTCGGCCCAAACAGATGCTCCTCTCCGTGGCTTCCTCGCTCCACTGTTTCTCGCGCCCAGTTCCACCTCTTGGCTCTACCCGCGAAATACTGCACAGGGCCCACAACTCTCCCTCTTAATTCAGGCTGCTATCACCTCTCATGAGCTAACTGCTGTGGCCTTTTTACTGGACCCATTTTCTCTCTGACCCTCCTAAACAGCCAGGAGTTTTTAAAAGATGTGCATTAGATATCATTCCCTAGTATGAGGGTGACTCCATGGCTGCCTCTGGCCTTCAAAAACTATGTACAAAGCAGGTGAACAGCAGCTCTGCAGCATCAGACTCTTGCCCTCTCTCCTACCTCAGGAGTTCATTTCTTGCCTCTCTCCCCCTTGCCTCCTATGTTCCAGACCCACGGGCCTCCCTTGGGTTCCTCATACATCCCAAAGCGGTTTTTGCTTCAAGGCTTCTGCACCTATTTCCTTTGTTTGGAATACTCTTCCTCCTTCAGCGCTCAGTTCAAGTTACCTTAGCGAGGCCTTCCTTACCCATTTAATCCAGAGCACCTCCAGCTCCCATTCCAACTCACTTTTCATCACAGCTTCCTCATTGTTTCTTTCTGGGTGTTTGTTTCAGTTTATAGTTAGCAGGCACATTTACTTGTCCGTTGTCAGTCTTTCCCACCAGATGGCGCTCCAAGGCGCCAGGACCATGGCTACCTATCTCATTCATTGATGGTTCTCCGTGGCTGGCTCAGAGGCGGTACTCGATAAAGGTAGGTTGAAATGGATGACTTTATTTACAGAGGTGAGGGTCAACCTTGAGACAATATGGACTAGTCTGCTGGTCTAGCCCTCACGCACCAGGCAGAGCTTAGCAGGAGAGAGAAGCCACAGCTGTGTGCCGGGTCCAGTCCCAACCAGCTTCACTTCCAGCAGATGATGATGTTCGGGTCGTTTTCCAGCCGTTCATCCAGCTCATGGTAGCTCATGCCTGGGTGGGGTGGCGGAGGTGAGGTCAGTAACCTTGGTTTGGCCACCCTGCCCTGACCTACCTCAGCTGTCCTGTCTGCCTCTACCTGTCTTGCAGCAGATCTCATCGTAGCTGTGGCAGCCTGTGTAAAGCCGGGCAGGGTGGCTCCGCTCCTCCCGAGACACCCGCACAGGATACTTCTGTAGTCGCCGGATGAGGTTCTTCATAAGTCCAAACTGGATCAGCTTCCTGAGGTGGCAGTCAAGGGAGAGAGGGGTGATGCCCTGGCCAGGTCTCCTTCCAGCCAGGCCAACCCTTTCCTGCAGTCTCCCTTGCAATTTTGTCTCAGTGACCAGACTGGTCTCCAAACCTGTCACCTCCAGGAAGCCTGTCTGGACTAGCAGTGCCACATGATTCTGCTCACTGAGAATCTTGGGCTTCCTCTCTGACCCAGGGCTCTGGGGAGACATAGAGAGTGTACCTGCCCTCAGGCAAACCCGTCATGCCCCAGGGGATCCCCCTCTGACCGTTCATCAACACGCTGCAGCTGCTGGGGGTGGCGGCCAATGAGGTCTCTCACAGTAGTGCCAGGGCTCAGGCTGCAGTACAGCTGGAACACATCTCGGAGACTGGCCCTCTTGTGCCCTGTAGGCACCAGGGGTCAGCTTTCCAGGTGGCCCTGCCCTCCCTGAGATGGCCTCCCCCAGACCCCACCACTACCTTGCTTGGTCACGTATGACAGACACGCCTCCTGCAGGGACTTGTCATCTACCAAGTCTTGGACCTTGGGTGTTGGGCAGTACACATTGGAGTACTGGAGGGTAGCAGGAGGCACAGTGGTAAGAGTGAGGGGCTTGGAAGTCTGATACAACCCCAGTCTGGCCCAGCCACATGATCCACTCTCCACTTAACCAGACCCCAGACTCACCCACCTGGAGGATGGAGACCAGTGTCACAACGCCATAGTACCTGAGGGACATAGTTGTTCTCAGCTTCTGATAGCCATTGCTTTCCCAGCCCCCACACTCAGGGCCCCTGGGCTCTTCCCTGGCTGGCAACCCTATTCTGGACGTGACTGTTGCCCCACTCACAGCAGGTTCTGGATGGCAATGCGCACCAGGTTGAGCTCCACATCTGCCTCAGCCGAGATCTTCTGGACGTGGCGGAATCCATCAATGTAGGGCAGGATCTGGGCAGGGCAAGGCAGGGTCAGTAGGGGTGGGATGATGCCAGGGCTGTAGCCAGTCCCAAGTGATGATACCCAGGCGGGCTGGCATACCTGTTGTGTGGTGAGGTCCCACTGTGAGTTGAAGAAATCCTCCTTGTCCTTGGTAAAGACAGGCACATCATACTCCTGGGCCACAGGAGGGTCAGGCCGCTGCTCAATCACTTTCAAGTGGATGGTGTTGGACTCATCTGCAGGGAGCACCACCCATATCCTCAGTGCCATCTCTTCCAAGAGGCCCTCAATTACCATCCAGCGCTCCCAGCACCCTTCAGGCAGGCAGGTGGTAGGGTCAATCTTCCCCTTTTATTCAGAAAGAGACTGAGGTCCAGAGAAGGGAAGAAATATGGCTAAGGAGCAGAGTTGGAGAGCTCTGCTCGCCTCCCCATCCCAGCCCCATCATGCACTGGATCCTGGACATCATCAGCCCAGCTCATGGCTATTTCCTGGCCAGAAATCTGTTCATGAGTCTTGTCCTTGGCTGGGCTCATCTTCCCCTGCCACTTTCCCATCCCTCCTCTACCCCTCTGCTGTCCTTGCAGAGGCTGGGCCATACCGATGGGCAGAGTGCACCGGCCTGAGGCGTTTAGCTCCTCTAGCAAGATGGTCATGATGGGCACCAACTTCTGCTTGCTCTCCTCCGTGGACACAAAGCTGCTCTCTAGCTGGATAGAGGATGGAAAGCATGGTGGGCACACCTCAGTACCCCTGGCTGGCATTTTGCTCTGGTAGGTTCGCAGGTCTGGAGGACTTTGGGACATGAGAACACTTCCCCCAAGCCCATCGTGTTGCCGACCTCCAGTGTGGTCAGGTAGCCAGCCAGCTTTTTGACGATGGGCTCAAGGGCACACGTCTTGGCCTGGGCATCACACACGAAGCCTAAGTTGAAGAGCAGGGCGTTGCGGCTGTACTTCTTGTGCTCGATGCACACAGGGCAGCCAATCAGTTTTTTCTCCATAGCTGTGCTGGATGGGGGAAAAGAGGTGGGAACAGAGTCAGGTTCTTCTTGTCCCCAAGCCTGTCCACTCCTCCTGGGGCCCCCCCACCCCCCAGCTAGAGTCTCACACAGTGATGAGCTTGTTCTGCAGCTCTGGTTTGGTAATGATGTACACCTGGACTGTGTCAAACAGCTCCCGGGAGATGAAGTCCTCAGGGACCTGGGGAGGGGAGTGGCAAGAGGTCCCTTAGTGGTCCTTGAGACTACGCAGAATACACAGGGTGACCCCCAAGGCCTAAGCCCTCTTCTCCGGCGTTTCTCCTCTGTCCCATCTACCCAGGCTACTGCTACTTTGTGTTTCCAAACACATGCTCTTTTCACCTGCCTCCTGGCTTTTGCATATGCTGTTCCCTCTACCTGGCACACACTCACCTAAATTCCTATGCGTCCAGGGATACTAGTGGACCACCCATCCCCACCTCTCCCCTACAGCCTCATTTCCCACAGTCACTGCCATGTGATGGTTGTTTGCCCCGGCACACCGGGAGCCGGGGACCTGGTTCTGACTATCTTCTTGGTTCACGATTCTCCGTGAATGAAGGAGTGGCGTGCCCGCGTGCAGCAAGGGGATCCACCGCCTCCAGGCAGCCGACTGAGCTCCCGAGAGCGACCCTCTCCCAGCCTTCCCAGTCCCGCGAGCCCAGATGGCACCTGATAGGTGATCTTGGGTCCCAGCGTGGGATGGAACTCGCTGAAGAATATGCATTCGATGCGACAGCCGCTGCCCATGGCGCTAGCGGGGCCCAGGTCTGTAGCTCCAGGCGCTCCGACCCCTGGGAACACCTGTCCGAAACAGCCCAGAAGTCTGGGCCGCCGGGTCACTCACGCATGCGCACTCTCACACTCATGAAGCCGTATGCTCAACAGCGCCTGCGCAGCGCGACTCGGCGGTGTGGCCGGGGTGGGGGCGGGGGGGGCCTCGTCCCAGGATGTCCGGGTGGGGAGACGTCGCACCCGGAAGGGAAGCGGCTCCGCGACGCAGCGGTGGCGCGCGCAGCAAAGCCCTGAGTATCCCGTTTTCTCGGGAGGAAACCACTGCGTCGGGTTGGCGCTGCGGGTGAGACACGCGAATCCCTATCGTATAGGGGCAGCATGCCAGCGGCATGTGGGGAGGCTGTGCGCGAAGGGATTCACGGTGTCATACGGCCACAGTTGGGAACTACAATTCCCATAGTACTTCACGCTCTTCCTGCTGGCTCTCCCGCCCGGCGACGGCGTGGTGCACGCTGGGATTTGTAGTCTATTACATGGCCTTGTGCCTCCTACCTGGAAGGTGGGCCAGTGATCAGTGTCAGTTCACATGCGGGGACACGCTGACAGGACGCCGGTCTTCGAGCATTCCTGGTGCCTGTCTTGGTACTGTTCCTTCCTACCTTAACTTCTTGGAAGGGGGTGGCATTCCTGTCCTGCAACCCTTGTTCCAGTGAGAGGAGGGGACAGTGGGCACCTGAGACCCTTGCCCACTCTGTTATGCTTTCAGGCTACAGCCACCGGCTTGGTTGACCATGGCCCTTTCTGTGGAGACCGAGTCGCACATCTACCGAGCTCTGCGCACTGCCTCTGGGGCTGCTGCCCACCTTGTGGCCCTGGGCTTCACCATCTTCGTGGCTGTGCTTGCCAGGCCTGGCTCCAGTAAGTAGAATTCATAGCTGACATCTGGGAAGGAAAGTGCCACTTTTCTTGGGAAGCAGGGGCAATAGGAAGCTTTGGGCCTGAGTCTTGGAAACAGGCCTGGCTGGCTGAGGGACATGCTATGCTGGAGAGATAAGGTGGAGTAGATGGTTGTGGGGGCTCTGCCAGCTTGGCCAGGTCTCTACGGAGTACCTGGCTTCTCCTTCCTTGTCTTGGTCTGCACTTGGTTGCCTCTTGCAAAGTGTTAGGGGAAGGGAGAAGGACTACTGGAGGAGTGGCAAAGCATGGCCTCTGATCTAGGGAGGGACGAGGAAGAGGACAGGTTTGGGATCAGCTTGTTGCAGCAAGAGGGGGCTCACATTTTGCCAGCATTTCCTTGGACAATGGGCTGCCCATTTTCTTCAGCCTTTAGGGACTGGTGTGGCTGGGTTCTCCTTGCCTCAGCCTCACAAGGCCTCCTCTTCTCATTCTAGGTCTGTTCTCCTGGCACCCTGTGCTTATGTCTCTGGCCGTAAGTAGTGGGCCTGGCCAGCTCTTAGGGGTGGAGGGAGCATAAGTATGGGTGGTGGCCCTGGCAGCCTCTGAATCCTTATGGACACTTGATATCTATTTGGAGAGACGGGATGGATTGGAGGAGTTGCATGCTCCAACTCCTGCCCATGGCATATATTCCAGACTTGAACCAGAGTATTCAAGATCCAGGGCAAATGGGTGGGGTTTGTCTAAGCACAAAATGAGGCTTCACCCACATATAGGCAGGAAGCTTAGAAAATGCATTTGGGTGTACCTGTGTCCCTTTTACCTTAATTTATAGTGATGTATCTAATTTTCCCTGAAACTGTGCACCCACGTGATCAGCTCTTGCCAGGAAATTGTATTCAGTCCCATGTCAGGGAAACAAAGCTTGTGAATAATCATTTATAACTTCTCAAACTTTGTGTTTGCTGGGTAATGTAGCAGAGATGACATTTCAGAATAGCACCTAGGAAGAAGTGTGGAGAGGTGCCTCTCGCTGGTTACTCAGGGTCCTAGATGGAGTTCTCTAATCTTGCCCCACCAAATAGATACCCTTGTCAGTGGAGAGAAAATGAAGGGGAATCTTCTCAGATTGTCTGGCAGCTTAGGTTATCTTAAGCCCTTTTCTGGGCAATGCCCTTATTTAGTTTCCTGTCCCTGTCTCCCCAGTTCTCTTTCCTGATGACCGAGGCACTGCTGGTGTTCTCTCCTGAGAGTTCGCTGCTGCGCTCCCTCTCTCGGAAGGGCCGAGCACGCTGCCACTGGGTACTGCAGTTGGTGGCCCTGCTGTGTGCACTGCTGGGCCTGGGCCTTGTTATCCTCCACAAGGAACAGCTTGGCAAAGCCCACCTGGCCACATGGCATGGGCGAGCAGGGCTGCTAGCTGTGCTGTGGGCTGGGCTGCAGTGCTTAGGCGGGGTGGGGCTGCTCTACCCCAAACTGCTGCCCAGATGGCCCCTGGCAAAGCTCAAGCTGTACCATGCCACTTCTGGGCTCGTGGGCTACCTTCTGGGTAGTGCCAGCCTCTTGTTGGGCATGTGCTCACTCTGGTTCACTGCCACAGTCACCGGTGGGGTCTGGTACCTGGCCATGCTATGCCCTGTCATTACCAGCTTGGTCATCATGAACCAGGTGAGCAACGCCTACCTGTACCGCAAAAGGATCCAGCCGTGAGCTCTTCCCAGCCTTGGGGAAGCCTGGATTTGCCCCTCAGTGTAGGAGCTGGGGCAGGGACCTTCTGGACTCTCTCAGCTGACTAGGTCACAAGTAGCCCTCAGGCACTGGGGCAGTCAGGGATGGGGCCCTGTGTGTGACATCTTTGCTTGCTCCTCACACTGGAGTGCCTCCCCTTTCCTTCTCTATCATCCCAGAGAAGCCTATGGATCATGTGACTGGATGCAGTTGGGGTTGCAAGACTGCCTCCCCAGCAACTGAACTCATACTTGTACTGGTATGTCCAGAAATTACGGACAAGAAAAAAATAAAAAAGTGACCGAAAATACTGGATGGGAAGAATACCCCAGAGTTGGGAATAGTTCTTGCTAATGCGATCAGCATGAAGAAACAGGCAGCTGGGCAAGATGGGGACCCCTCTCCTTGGCTGCTCACTGAGAGGCTGAAGTTCTCCCAACACACAAGCCCTCAGGATTTGGCTGCTGTGCGTCCTCGGCAGGCCCTAGGGGCTGTGAATGGTACAGCTGTGTGTCCTTTCAGTCTCCCAGGTGCTCACTGTGCTGGAGTCTCACCACCTTAGTCTGTGGTGGTTATATCTGGAGAATGACAGGATGGGAACCAGGGATGGGTTGTCTCCATAGGTGTCAAGCACTGAGCACTGTCTTGAAGGTGAGCCATGGATAAGAACAACTCCTTATGAGACAGAGGCCTTCAAATGTTACATCTTCCGGGCACGGCCTCCCTGACTGGGGGACTGGAGGGAGAAAACAAGTGAGGATCTGAGGTGATAGCTCTGGGAAGGCTGCTTGACAGTGGGCATGTGGTCGGGGGGTGGGAGGGTGGGCAGGGAAGACTGGGGGCAATGGGCTTCTTATCCAGCTGGAGTTGCCATGGGGACTGAGTCCTTGAACCTAGAGTAAAGTTCCTAACTTTGTAGTTGAACATGATGAGGGGGCTGCACAAGGTGGTCTGACAAAGCCCAGGAGCCGTACCTCAAAGAACTGCTTTATTGATACTGCGAGGCTGGGCTTGGCTGCCCACTCAAGTGGTCCTGTAGAAAATACCTGGAAGCTGTGGCTATTCTGGCTCAGAAGCAGCCATGGCCACAGCAGAGGGACTCAGGAATCTTGATATGAGCATAGTCTTTCTGGGGGTGGGGGGGGATGCACAGCCCTGCACTGGCTGGACCCCCAGAATGTTTTTGGCAAATCCCTTGCCTTGGCTCAGGGCTCTCGGCAACCAATTTCAGGCATAAGGGCTGGCCCAGGAGCTGTGGCACCAGTGTCTCTGCAGCCACTTGCTTGGGGCTGCCTGCTGAGATACAGTCTTACCTCAGGTGGCCTGGGCTGGCAGATGCCTCAGAGGCCCCATGCCTGGCATAGTGGTTGTCTGGACTTGGAACCAGGTAGCAAGAGTCCTGGGTAGTGTTGGCGAGAAATAGCAGAAGGCTGTGGAAACCCCTAGCATGCCTTCTTCCCTCTCCTCAGAGCAGTCAGTGCCCTGGAGTAGCTGAGAGGATGTCAAGGGGGGCTTGGGAGAGGAGGTGCTACACTCAAGGTGGTTTGGAGTTACAGCTTTGGAGGAGCAGCCTCGAAGGTGATCAGGCTGGATTCTGGGGCAGCCCCCTTCCCTGGGAGTGTGGGGGCCTTGTCTGAGGGCAGGGGGCTGTCCACCTTGGCCCCAGCCTCCTCTTCATCGTCGTCCATGCTTGGCCAGATGGACTGGTCCTCTACTCTCTTCAGCCGCTCATTGAGGGCCTTCAGGGCCAGTTGCCTAGGGCCAGAGGAAAGATGACAGGTCACTCTAGGCTTGGACTTGGCTCATGCCCTGCATTGTTGCCCCATGAAGCTGATTCCCCTTACCCTCATACTTCTATGTGTTCCCTTTCTCCACGCAGGGCCCAGGGCTCCCCGGGGATTGGATTAGGGCCTACTCTGCCATCAGAATAAGGACCAAAGGCTATAGAACCTTCCCTCCATAGCTGGAGCACCTTCAGGCTGAGAAGGCTGGCTGGGTGTCTGCTAGACTGCCCACTAGGCCAGCCCCAGGAATGGTTCTGAGGCTTAAAGGTGAGCAGAGCTGGTATCCAAGTGCAGACAGGTGGAAGGGCAAGTGAGTTTCTGCCTGGGCACTGAAATCACATCCAAGGAGAGGGTTATTACTTCCCCCCTTCTTATTAGGGATGCCTTGAGCCTCCTGGCAAGGCTGTGTAGGGAAGGCTGGAACTCAGGCACCTGCCTTGGCTCTCAGTGTGGGAAGCAGGGCGACCTTGGGTCAGCCCACCCCTCCTAACTGACTCTAATATTCTCCTTCCTAGAAGAATCTCCAAGGCCACCAGGCCATGTGTTACAGCAGGGACACACTGAACGCTTGCAGGAAGAGAGGAAGGAGAAACAGGCCATGTGGTTGGGGTGCAGGCTAGAAACTACTGGTTGGCAATATCCTTGGAGGCAGATCCTTGGACACCCTACTCTGGGGGGAGGTGGGAAAGTGCACTAGAAGCAGGTATATACATGCACTTGGGACCCTGGCCCACCAACAGGTGGAATGCCCATGCTGCCAGTAACACTTTCAGTAGTGGCCACTGTGGACCCCTTATGTCTCAACCTCTCCGTGCCACCAGTCTGGGGGGTAGCCCATATAGCCTTCCAAGTTCAGCAGAGAACTAAAGTCTCCACCACGCCAGGGAACATGACAGGAGAGGCAACAAGGACACAGGCACAGAAAACCCTGTTACACTTCCACCCTATCCTCCAGCCTGGCACATGGCAAGTTGGCATAGACGGGACAGTCCTTCCCTGCTGCTATCCAGGCTCCCATCCTGGAGATTCCCTTGTTAATCCTATCTAAAGCCTGCCAAGGCAGAGAGGCAGTGGCATGCTAATCACTTCCTCACAAGGATCAAAAATAGGAAACCCTGCCTCCCACTACTAGCAGCCCTTTGGGTTTGGAAGTGGCATGCAGCCAGATGTCAAACTGTTTGGGGGAGTAACCCCCACCCCCAAGTAAGCTAACAACCACAAGACTATGCCAAGAACCCACCTCCTGATACCCCCTCACCCCCACACCATCCTCCCTCCACCTATCCATTTTCTTGGCCCTGGGCAGAAATGTTTTTGAATGTTCAGCCAATTCTAACAATGCAAAACTTCTCACTGGAGGAAGGCCACCACTGTGGCCTGGCTCCACCTGAATAGCTCTGAAAGCAGCTCAGTTCCTACCAGTCCCAGACGTCCTGGCCCCATCTCCTCCACCAGCTAAGGTTAAGACAGACCTCCGTCTTTAGGACTCTTTAACCATAGAGATACAAACTGTAGGGCCCAGAATTATGGCCTGAAGCATGCTGTGTGTACTTTTAGACACCTGCCACCTTGGACCATAGTAATCTGTGGCCCTTTCCCAGCTGGAAACTCCTTTAAGAAAAGCATGTGTCCTACACTCAACTCCACAGCTCTAATGGAGAGTAAGCACAGGCATAACTCAGCTGAATTCATAAAGCTGCCCGTCAAGAACCCATTTCACAGATTAACACAAGCAAGAGCCTTTGGCAAATGAAGGAAGTAGGAACAGAGCTTGCTCCCGATTTCACCAGTCAAGTAACTACCTCAAAAAACCTCAAGAATAATGTTGGAAACGGAGCTGTAAAGGCTACGTTGGTGAGTCCACAGACCTGGGGGGCATGAGGAAAGTAAGAGCTGGATTAAAAAAGATCTATCCTGCCCTGGCCAAGGTGTGTCCAGTGAATAATTCAGCCAGGACTCCTGATGGTGCAGATGGCTTGGTTTACAGATAATGATAAGGTCGTCTCCACTCGCTGGTGTGGTCAGCAGTCTCCCTTGGGTCATGTGGCATGTCCCCTGGGTTTGGTGACACATTCCTGCTGGAGGGGCGGGGTTAAGTCTAGTAAGACCCCAAGCTTCCCTCTCAATAAGTGGCAGAGAAGCACAGCACCTGAATTAAGGCCCAGGAAGAGGACATGGTTCAGCATCTGGAAATTGCGGTGGCCTAAGACTGCTTCTTAAGCATCCCAGATCGCCTTTTCTGTCTCTCCCTCTCAGGGGAAAAAGAACCAGCAAGCTGTTTCTGGCTTCCACAAGCCCAGTATCCAGGATTCTGAGATTCTGAGACATGGCCAAGGTTATGTGTACCCGGTTTTTCCATTAGCCCTCATACAGCACCAAAAGAAACTAGGCATTTCTTGAAACTTGTTAAGTGGCCTGATTGGTGAGAAAAGCACGTTTCACCCCCTAATGTTGGAAAACACCTACTGGAGCCCAGCTACCTAAATAAAAAATGCTGAGTTCCTCAAGGCCACAAACTGGATTTTACCTCTGTCTGAATCTGCCCCAATGCCTGACCCTAGGCTGCCCGCCTCCATACAACAAGCACCTCAACAAATGGGACCTGACTCCATCAAGAAATACTCTCCTAGCTCAACAAGGTTTCAGAAGATTCCACAGTACCTTCTCCGCTCTGCGTCTTGAGGGTCTGTGCCTGGGAGGCTGATGGTGATGGAGGATGGGGCACCCACATCATAGCGCTTCACTGTCTTCTGGCATATCTTTACCTTCACCAGGAGGCCATGTACCAAGTTCGCCAACAGCCCCACCACAGGCTGCAGGATCTCAGGGAAGAAGGTGGCGAAAGCAAAGTGGTCGGCCATGTCCCCTCGGCCTCGGCTATGGCGCTGGTAGAAGCGAAGATACACCCAGCTGGAGAGCAGCCCAAAGCCATAGGAGGCTAGAGCTGGGCTCTGGAGGAGCGTGGCCAGCCGCAGCAGTAGCAGCAGCCCCAACAGCAGCATGGGCACCACGCTGACGCGCACCTGGGGCACTCGCAGGACCACACAGTCCCCCATGGTTTGCTTGAGTGCCACCAGGACACCACCTAGGAAGCCCAGGGCGCCATGGATGCGGATAGTGAAAAGGTAGACCAAGTTGAAAGAAGCCATGTAGGTGAGGAGGTAGGCGAATGCCCCCAGCAGCCCCACAGACACGTTCACCACTGAGAAAAAGATGAGCAGCTCCAAGGCCCCCCAGAGGGGCTCCAGCAAACGTCCAGCCACCACCACTGTGGCCAGGCTGATGGCCACATCCCACACATGCTGTTCCATTAGCCCATGGGTAGCCAGGGTCCAGATCCAGAAGTTGGGAGGAAAGAGGTAGCCTGGGGTGACCGCCAGGCAGCCCGTGTCCACGGCGAAGGACAGCAGGTAGAGGAATAGTACCGCCGCGCACAGGGCCTTCACCACCACGCTGGCGCTGGCCACGATGGCCCCCAAGTGCTGGCGGGCGCCCGGTAGGGCGCGCTGCATCTTCCTGGCGGGCGTCAGCCTGAGGGAAAGGTCTAGCGGGCTAGGGGCCTCCCCGGGGCCTCGTCCCCGTCCGGCCCCGACGGGAGGCCCGGGTCTGGCCTAGTCACTGGCCTATGGCCCCGGTGAAGGCTCCACTTCCGGTCGGATCGGCTCTGGTCCCAAAGGGCCAAACCGGGCCTGGTCGCGGGGCCGGGGCTTAGGCCCCTCGCCGGGGACCTGAAGGAAAGGCCCTGGGAGGCTTCGGCACGCCTGCCCGCTCTGTCGGCCCCACGCCAGGCCGAACAAGCTGGGGTTGATCTCAGGGTTCGGCCTACTCCATCCACTCTGGGGCCCTACGGTCCGCGCGGGACTGGAGCCTAACTCTGGGCTCGAGTCAGGTCTGGTCGGCTCCGGCTGCCCCGGTCTTGGCCACGACCGTACCTCCTCCCTTCTCTGGCGCCGACAAACAGCTGTGCTGCGCCTGCGCGCCCCAGGCGGCGGCGGGATGCCTTCTGAGTGTTGTTCTTCCGGCTCTGCAGCATGCTGGGACACGGAGTCCTCCGCGGAAGCCTGAGGACAAGCGGCAATCAGCGTTCTGGATAGAACTATAAGTCCCAGAAAGCTGTGCGCACGGGCCGTTCCCGTTGGTGATGAGAAGAGGCTCTGCTTGGGAGTTGTAGTTCTCTGAAACGGTCCCGCTAGGAGGTGGGAGGACGGTGAACAAGCATCGCTGACTTCGGGAAAGCGGCGGGTACCGGTGGCAGCAGAACTGCAGGCCGAATACTTGCTGAATTCCCCGGTAACTGTGGCTCTGTTTGTGTTTGTATATCCGAGTGGGTGTGTCCTTGTGAGCAAGTGTGTGGGTAAGAATGTTGAATGGTCTTGGTGTGCGTGAACTCCCGGAACTTCCGCGATCTGGTGTCTGCTGACCCCGGTTGTGTGGGCGGGGTGTGGGCCTGACCCAGGTTGGAATTCTTGTTCTGCCATTGGGCGGCTGTGTGAAATTGGCCAAGTTCCTGAACTTCGTTGAAACTCAATGTCATGGAAATGACAAGACCTACCGTGAGGGTCCAAGGGGACTGGGTGTAAAATGCCAGTCCACCTGGGTGCTCAGGCTGCCGTTGTTAGAAGTGAGGTGGAGTCGCGACTCGAACTCAGGTCTCCTGTCCCTAAAGGAGCAAGGCTGGGCTGTTCTCAGTGACTCTCCTTCCCTTGCTGGCCCCAAAGAAGAGAGATCTCCCCCAACACTTGGGCCAGGCTGGCCCTGGACCCCTACTTCACTGCAACAGTGGCTCCCAGCAGGTTGTGTCCTGTGCAAACTGATTTTTTTTTTTGTATATTGGGTTGCTTTTTAAAAATATGTATATAATTAAAATAATTCTGTGACAAAATACATTTATAAATGCAGAATCCCTTCCTTTCAGCCACTAATCTCAGTACAACTGCCGATGTGTGCATAGCCTTCCAGGTTACAAAGGGTGTTGACACCCTTTATCTTTGTCTGGGGTCTGGATTCCACTGGATGCCACCCAGGGTAGAGTTGCCAGATTTAGCAAATTAAAATATGGGGTGCTCAGTCAAATTTGAATTTCAGATAAACAACAAATAATTTTTTAGTGTAAGCAAAATTTTTTTAGTTATATGTCGTGCAATATTGGAAACATAATAAAAAATCCTTGTTATTTATCTGAAACTCAAATTTGACACTGGATGTTCTGTATTTTATCTGGCAACTCTACCCTACAACCTCTGTCACTGTTGTCAGGCATGGGAGCTGTCTCAGGTTGCTAGTAAGGCATTGCTCTATGGCCAACCCCTGCAGAGGAGTGAGGAAAGAAAGATGTCCTCGCTAAGGCCTGGAATGCCCTCCTTCATTTATTTAGCATCTAAGGGCCCCCAGCCACAGGCCATCTCCTCTCTGAAACCTTGGCTGATTTCTTGCCCTTCTCATCTGGGGAGAAAGGATTTCTCCTCTGTAACTCTCAGTTTGCTCATCTGTAGTAAAAGGATTTTTCCAAAGTTTCAGTTTACTCATCTGTAGTGTGGGGATAAACTAGTACCCAATTCTAAGGTTGTGGTGAGGACTTGGCCGCTGGGTGAGTGCCAAGTGTGTACTGTAAGAGAGCGAGTGTCAGCAGCACTGGGAAATCTCTGCACTGGTGACTATGAGTCTTTCCCCTTGAAAAGAACTTGAAGGTCACTTGAACTAGGGTTGACTATTAAGAGTTGGAATTAAAATGAACATGGGCATAAGGCAGGCCAGAAGGAGGCCCGAGGGGATTCTTGTAAACTGAGCTCAGCTTTGGGTTCCAGTGTGAGCAGCAGCGGCCACAGAGAGCATGGGGCTTCCAGCTTCCCCTGGGCTGGGAAGGAGCAGTGGTTGTGCTTGTGGGTGGGCCAGACCCTGGCCTGCTCTGGACAACAGCAGTGGGCCCTCAAGCACCAGGTCCTAGACTTGGGCCAGGTACTCACTCTTCACCCCAGCTGGAGGACCTGCCTGCTAGGCCTGGTTGGTCTGACCTTGTGGCTGCACACTTGCCTAAACCTGCCTCTCATCTCTGTCTTCTTTCCTCCACCCTCCTGGCCTTGAGCCTCTGGGAGACCTCTTTCTTTAAGGGTAGTTTCTCCTAGAGGCTTTTGAAACAATTATAAGAGACAAAGGATGTCAAAGATCTGGTACTTAGGAGGCCTGGGAAGTGTCAGGCCCTACACCCACCAGGAACCTAGATCGCTATGGCCTTCATTCCCAGGAGAGTGGTAGGTGGGACTCTGAGATCATGGCCACCTGTCTTCAGGCTACCCAATCCTCACCCCTGGGTAGACAGAGTGGATGGGAACCATTTGAAGTGAAAATATGAACATTATTTAATAACTGATCTTCTGTAATAAACCATTTGAAAATATTTTACAAGGAATCACACACACGATATTTTACAAAGTTTCTTGAGTTTTTTGTCACTGTTGTTTTTCTGACTTGTCTGTACAAAATAGAACAACCAAAAAAAAGGGCAGAGAAAAGGAAATGGCCCCCCAGTCCCCCACAGATCCCCCGAGCCCGAGGTGAGGGGGCAGCCAGGTCGGGTGGGTGATGAGAAGGATAAGACCCAGCTGGGGGTTGGACAACTACCTGATGGGGATTTTGCCTGTTTTTTAAACTTAAAATATATATTTTTCTGTATATGTTTGATTCTTTTTTATTTTTATATTCTCCATTGAGCACCTGACTACACTACAGTTATACACACGCCCCCGCAAGACATGGCTGGCATCTAGGCTGGGTGTACAACATGGGCGGCCACCCTGGCACCAGCAGCGGGCATGGACCATATACACACACTGAGAAAGCGACAAGCAACATGACATTAATTAACGGAGTCATTAATTAATGCATCACCCTCCCCCCTCCTCCCAGTCCATCTGAGCCCCACGGCCACATTCCCCTGCCCTCAGTCCTCTACTTGCCCCCAGGCTGGGATGCCTTTGAGGGAAATGACCACAATGAATGGTGTGAAGAGATATGCCTGGGCCCAGCCTGTGTGTGTGCACAGAGTGTGTATATGTGTGTATGTGTGCAAGTGTGTGTTCAGCGGGGAGGAGCAGTTTGGCCTCCTGGGGACAGGGAGTGTCTAAGTGGGAAGGAGATGGGGAGTGGCATAGGCCTGTGTGTGTAAGGGCCAGATTGAGGATGGGATGGTCCAGCCAGGAGTGATTAAGTCACCCCCGCTAAGGCAAAGGGCAATGTGTGGTGAGGGTTCCTCTGCCGAGGGGTGCAGGCAGTAGCATTTGATCCCACTGGGGGCCTGACACTAGTGAGAAATGGTTACAATGAGCACCTGGCGGGGTGAAGGGCATTTAGGGGACACTGGTGGCTAGGGTGAGACAGGGGTTTTTATCCCCTGCCCCAGCATTTGGCACTGTTTGACATTCAGCTTTAGAGACAGAGGACCAGCTGGGCTGCAGGTCAGATCAGAGGTGGGTGGTGAGCAGGAGATGGAGTGTGCATGTGCCAACCCTCCCACCAACCCCTCGCCCTGTGTAAGGCTTTGTGAGCCCCCACCCCCACCCCACCCCACCCCACCCCATGGTGTGTGCATGTGTTTGTGTATGTGTCCTCCGGGATATGTCTAATGTGAGTCCAGTTTCTGCCCTCAGGACTCCAATTATGTATATGGTTGTGTCTGAGCAGGTGTCACTGTCACTGCCCTGACACCTGTAGGGCTTGGGGTGGGGGACGTGGCTGTAGGCCTGAGAGGGACAGGAGTCCACTGGGGGCTGCCCCAGGACCTCTCTCCTGCCAGGATTGAAGCTGGGATGCACAGGCCTCAAACTGCCCATCTCAACTTCCTCCATTATTCCCAGGAAACCCAGATTTGGTCCTGAGTGGGGCAGAAGGGCCAGGTTAGAGGAGTCCAGCTGGGGCAGGGGCTAGGTCTCCCACACAAAGGGAGCCTCCGGGCAGGGCAGGTAGTGGAGGCCTGGTTTGACACCAGTACTGTGGCTTCCCTGTCCCAGCCCTCGGCGGTGGGTAAGTCCAGTGGGAATGAGGGGTCTGAGGACACTTTGACAGTTCAGCAGCGAGACGTGGCTTGGGGGCCAAAGACCTGTGGCGCCCTCCTTTGGGACCCTCCACTCCAAGGCGCAGACTCACGGGGTCTGGCACACCCAGGTCTTTGAGTGAGGGAGGGGGCGAGGCTCTAAGGCGGGGAGTGTGGGGCGGGAGAGCGGGGAAGAGGCAGGGAGGCCTGGGGGGCGCTCAGAGGCGGCGAGAGGCGTAGGCGTAGACTTGAGGCTGTGGCCGGGGAGGCAGGCCCAGGAGCAGCAGCAGCTGCAGGGAGACCAGGACGCCCAGCGACGGCGGGAAGGAGGCTCCACGGCCACAGTCTGAGGTATCTTCCTGCAGGAAGACAGAAGGAGCTGGTCGGCCTGGTAGGCCTGGGGCATGGGTGGGCGCAGGGCCTCACCAGCTCTGGGGAGGGGAGCGGGATGTCAAATCCGTCACCCCCCTCCTCACCGTTGCGTTGTAGTCGAAGCAGATGTGCGGACCTCTCCGGTATCGCGGTCTCTGTACCAGTTCACACTGCTCCGGGCCGTCCGCTGGGCATGGGTGGGGAGTCAAGGAGGCAGCAGCGGCACGGAGGGGGCACACGGGGCGGGAGGGGGCGCGGGTGGCGGGGAGCGGCCGGGGCAGGATACAGTGTGTCTCCTTCTGCAGCAGCCGGCCTGCCTCACACTGGCTGCACAGCGGCTTCTCCGCCACCACGAAGAGAAGGTTGGTGTTGGTCAGTCTCTGCGCGTGGAATAGCCTGGAGGCGGCGTGGAGAGGCGGGGCGTTGAGATTCGCCCCTCCCCTCCGTCCCTTCCCCGCCCCCTGCAGCCTCGGCCCCGCCCCCGGCCGCGTCCTCCTGGCAGGCCCCGCCCCAAGGGCTCCGCCCTCAGCCCCACCCTGCCCCTCTGGTCCATACCCCACCCCC